TAAATAAATTAAATAACTTATATGTATTAATATTATTTATAGGTCCAATGCTTAAAGCATATTTAAATGGCGTACAACTTAATACATTACATCCATCATTTAATAATCAATCAAAGCTTAATTATTTAATAGAAAAAAATCGAAGATCTAAATATCCACATAGACAGGATATAATGGGTATTATTATTATTTAATTTAATCTATTTAATAAAAAATAAATTTATTTTTTATTAAATATATATTAATTTTGTTATTTTATTATAATTAATAGGTGTAATTCATGAGTTTATTAAAAATCATCAAAATGCAGAAGATCCATATATTCGTCAAATTCGTAAGTATATATTTATAATTAAATATTTTAATAATATATAAATATTAATATATAATTAATAAACTTATTTTAGGATTTATTGATAATGGGCAATTGATTATTTTATGCTTAAAAAAAGAACAAGCTATTGCATTATCTGAATTAAAGTATTTCGAAATTGATACATCTTTTAAACGTGTTCAAGGTGTATATAAAGAATGGGAAATAAATGCGTTTATTGAAAAATATTCAAAAAGTAAATATTTTAATAATATTTATAATAATTATATAAATATTTTGATTATAATTTTTTAATATCTTATTTATTTTAGCTTTATGTTTTGCACGTGTCTTTGTTAAAAATCAAACGATTGAAACTTATCAGCATATCTTTGAAGAACTTTTTACAATTATTGAACAAGATATAGGCCATTCATTTTATTTTCAACATATTCATGGACAAGGGCTAGGCTGTATTTTAGCTGACGCTGAAAAGGCACAAGCTATTGGTATATTTTACTTTATTTAATTTGCTATAATTTATAATAAATAAGATTATACAGTCGATACTGTCTAATTGCATGCCATCCGTCAGAAACTTTTTTATGCATATAGACAGTATATGCATTTAAATCATAAGAACCATTTCGGTGTTAATAATTAAAAGCAAAATTTTTTTATGCACTTAGAGAGTATATGCAATTAGACAGTATGCAATTAGACAGTATCTACTATACAAGTAACAAAAAAAAAAACTAAAATTATTTTATTTATTAAGTAAAATAATTTATAAGTTTTCTTTTTTCGTTACTTATATATACTAATATTATTTAAAATTAGGTTTAGGCAAATATCTTGCTAATAAATATCCACAAATGGACTATATTGAACATCTTCAAAATTTATATCGCATATGTCTTGTTCATTATAAAAGGTATAATTTATATTTTAATATTAGATTTATTTGAAAAAATAAAAAATATTGATATTAATTTTAATTACCGGTAATTAGAAATATTAAAACAAAACCAATTTCAATTGAGTCTAAAAAAATAATGAATGGAATTCCATATTTAAAAACACATGAAGAAGTTCTTTCAGCATTAAATCAATTAGAAAATAGTAATGAAAAAGAAACTCAAGGTATATATTTTTATAAAAGTTAATAATTTAAAAACATTTTATTTATATTTATTTATTTAGATTGGGTTAAAGATAAACG